TTGGTGCCCACACTGGTGAAATCAGGACGTTGCGGACGTTTTTGGAAAGAGATGCTCTGAAGCAGAAGCTAGTGGTCTTAGTAAAGGATAACGGGCAGCCCCCACTCTCTGCTACAGTCAGTCTCAATCTGGTTTTTGCTGAAAACTTCCAAGAGGCACTTCCAGAAATAAGTAACCAAACCACTGATTCAGAGCATCAGTCTGAGCTGCAATTCTACCTAGTGCTGGCCTTAACTTTGATCTCATTTCTATTCCTCTTGACTGTAACTCTGGTCATTATGATGAAACTCCGACAGTCAGGGAACCCAAAGTTCCTTCAGTGCTTCAGTCCTGTTCCCCATTCAAGCAATGCTATTGTATTCCCACCAAATTATGAGGAAGGGACAATTCCATATTCCTATCAGCTCTGCTTATCATCCGAGTCCAAGATTCATGAAATTACTTTTCCAACTCCCAAAGGTCAAAGTGCCGAATATATTTTATCCAACCAAAACTCTGATGCACTCCTGTCAACTACTGGAGCCAATATCATAAATTCTGAGATGGATAAAACTAATTTGGTGAGTTTTCTTTTGAAGAGTACCAACTTTACAGCTTATATCTCTTTGTTAATGAAAATGTTAAAAGATTCAATCACAACTTCCAGATCCTATTATTTCTGTATAAAAGGAAGATCTTTACTGTATTGTATGGTGCAGTTATCGGTTATTTACTCATTGTTTCCTTTTATTTTAAGAAAGATAGGTGTTTTCTGATTGAAATCAATAATAATTCATGGTTTTTTCATAGATCTTTCTTTCTGGTGAAAGAAAAGGAAAGGGTTACCTTTTAACCATATTTAAATATTTTGAATGATATTACGTTAAGCAGCAATAACCTCCAAATGTAAATAATGAAGGATGACTTTTTAATGCTTCTTCAATAGCATATCTTGTAACAGTAATTGTTGGAGAGTATTTCAAGCATTCCCAATGGTTCACCTTATTTGATACATATGAAATGTCCCAATAATGAACACCAATATTTAGTATTGAAAATTTTTACAAGAACAAGCTAATAATATGAAATCCCATTTTGTTTGCTGTTGTGACTGTAATTTGTCTAAAATCAATTCTGCTTTCTATATATTTACTTTAATAAAATAAACTAAGTTTGAATTATAAACTAATCTAATTTGCCAAGGAGAGGAGAAATTTTCATGCAAATTAACAGACGTAAAAATGAGCTGCCATACCAAGTGTATATGCCTTACTCTTGAGAGAGATAAGATAATGAAAAACAGTGTGGGCTTTTTAAAGAAGTTCACTGCTTTCCTTTCTTCCCAACATATTCCACACTTTCTGATGAAGCTATCAAAGTAGCTTACAATTTGGAAGTCTAAAAGTAAAAGAAAGTCAGTAAGGCTCACTTCCTCATGATTTCATTGCCCTTAAGCAACAGATCATAAGAAAAGGAGAACCACTGTCACCTTATAACACTGTCATTAGCCCTGGCAAGAAAATGGTGGAATCCACCCCTGACCTCAGGTTCTCACATAGAGCAACAAAATATGAATTGCAACGTGACATTTGCAACTACGTCTTGTTTTATGCTTGTTGCAGCTGTAGACTTCTGCATTTAAAATATGGAGGACAATTTTGGGATACATGAAAGCTAGCAAGTTTTTTTACCAGTGAAAAGGTCTTTGTGTCAGATCCTACTTATGCTGCTTGATATAAAGAGAGGAGCTCAGTCAAACAACAGTGCCATTTTATGGATTTCAAAGGCCAGAAATTTAGATTCCATGCAAAAGAAAGGACAGTAAAGTATAGTTTAGGATCTCACACATGCCAAAGACAGCAGTGCTAGAAAAATATATCAATTTATATATTTTATATAAATGAAATGAATCAGCTTTGAGTTAGGCACATATGCAGGTCTCAAAAACACTTCTTGGTAGCTTTAAAATGACTCCAGAAATGTCCTCATTTGAAGTAAAATAATACGTAATGCATACTAATGCCATACTCATTCATGATGTTAACCGTTGACAGAAAGCTTTTTTTTATACAAATATAAATGTGTAAAAGTATTCACAATAATAATAATGACCAGAACAATAACATTCATGAAAGGAGAACTACTTACGAAAGAAGGCTTTGCTAGCATACTGATTATGCATGCTAATTACATTATATAAAATAGAAAATGATATAATAGAAGTGGGAAAAACACTTTCAGAAGTATTAGAGGAGTGAAAGGATGTAAAAGAGTCTCTATAACAATTATATTTTCAAATGCTGGGTGGTTTCATTAATGAATACCATGTTCCAATTTTTTAAAAAAAAATTAATTGAATTTTTTTATTATTTATTATTTATTTTTTTATTGCATGCCATTGTGATCAGGAGTACGATTATATGATTTAAATTGCCTTTCCAAATGTGTCAGCAACTGTCATAGGCAAATATACAGACTATTGGGAAAGTTAGACTACTGCTAAGAACATTTTCCTAATGCTTAAAATAAACCAGTATTTCTTAGTGTGAATAGAAGACATCTTCTATCTTTCACTCATGCTCCTCATTCTCTATCTTCCTCTTGTTATTAAAACTACAACCTGTGTAAAACAAAAATAGAAAATGAAGATATAGTATTTTCCTTATTGTCCCATGATATGGTCGAGGATAAACTAAACTCTGAGAGCAAAAACATTATAGCTATATTCTTAGATATACAGGAAAACAGACTGTGTTTATGATAGGGAAAGTAAATATCAAAGCAGCAAGGTAACAATGCTGAGATTTTGCCATCTGCAGTAAGAAATTGAACATACCTTTTAGGTACCAGTTCATTCAAGAAAATAATAATAAAATCATTGTCATGCCATTATTGGAATCTAGCCTGTATGTCACAGAGTATGTTAGAGTTGTTAAATGCAGAAAACTCTCAATTCTGTACT